AGAAATAAAATACAGCAAATACCTTTTGAGCAATAGTTTCTGCTAACACTACGAGTGAGGAAAAGACCATCAATGCGAGCAATGTCCTCTCCTCCATTTTGGAAAGACCAGATTTTCAAATGAAAACTCGGTTGGGCTTAATCAGTTAATGAGTAACTCGTGCTTGGGGATAAGATGTAGGCTCTGAAGAGACCCAGAAACTTAATATTTACATGTTAAACATAGGTAAAACTTGGACTAGGTTAACGTTTATTTGTCCAGCAGACTTTGCTGTTAAACAATAGAATTTGAATGTTTCATAAAGCATAAAACCTTACGTTTTCTTTCTAAACTTCAGGCTCAGTGCGGGATGTGAGACCCAAGGCAGATGAACCGGGCTGTGCAACCACGAGCAGTTTTGCACGCATGAATCTCTACCGTATCCAGGAGTACCAGTTTGAGAGGGCACATCCTTTGTGTTACCTCAAACACACTGGGGCTTTGGAGACTGCTAATACGTGCAACATTTCTGTGAGGTTTTACAGCTGGTGACTTCCACGAGCCTCATGTCTCACTGCCCAACCGGGGGTACAGAGCAGCCCTCTTCAAACACCCTTTTTTGCCTCCTCTGGCAAGCCATGATCCCTGTTTGTCAACTAGCAAAGCCAGCTGTGCTTTGTCTTCAGCTAAGCAGTAAAAAGAAAGTAATCAACCCTGGGCTCCCCGAGTCACTGCCTGTACATACCTGTGGGTAAGGGTACAAAAGACACAAAGCACCCAAAACCAAGCGCAACGACAGCCATGCACAGCAGCACAGCTGGCCTTGTCCAGCCCTAACACAGCTTCAGCGTGTCCAAGCAGGGATTCTGCAATGCTGCCCTTAACCCATGCGCTCAGTGGGGCTGTTTGCGTGGAAGATTAGTGCTGAGAGACCTCTGCACTTGAATGTACATGGAAACTGAGTGGGATTACTCTTTTCATCCCCTATTTTATAATGAAATCTCCATCCAGCAGGGACCTGAAGTGGGGCTTGGCTTGCAGCCCTACAAAAAGGAGCTGTCTTCCAAGTCCAACTTTGTACACAAGTAATTATGGGCTCTGTTATATTAACAATTCCTGAAATACATGCTCACTCACGTGGTGGTTAGGTAGCCTGCTACACAGGATAGCTCATGTAACTACGAAGAAGATACTTCATCTGAATAGCTGTAATTCCTACCTATGCTACAAAGCATTTGAAACACGTTGTGGGGACATGAGGCAGTGGGAAAAACCGAGCCTAGGCAGAAGCCACTTCAAAAGTTCCTCTGAGCTCTACAACTGGGGAAATCAAGCTGAGAAATGGGGGCCAGGGAGAAAATTGTCACAAGCCATTCCTGCACCACATGCCTGGAACTTGCTTGTGTCATCGGGAAGCTTTCAGCAGCCTTCAGTTGTCCGTTCAGTCCCAATGCAAGAAAACAATGTTTGAAATACTGCAAATATCAACAGGGCAGGAAAGGAACGTCCCCTAGGGCTGCAGGCTCAGAGGATCCTGTATGCATTTACACGAACACACATATACAGGTACCTTAACGTGCAACCAGCTGGTGCTGTGGAGAGATGCAGTCTGGAAAGGCCCGTTCTTCCCTCAGTCCTGAGCAGATGAGGGCTGAGTCCTGCCCTCCCTCCACGATTTCCCTCCCTGTCTGCCATGTGCTGGCAGCTCCAGGCTAGCAGACAGCCCTTTCTCAACTACACCTGCTCTTTGTCCACGCAAAACCACTTTTCCATATTGCTTCTTTGACCTTATTCCCCCCCACCCTTATAACTCCATGGTGGATGATGCCATTAATTGTGCTAAATAAACACAAATGTCCTGTGGAAATACATGCATCTGTGTTTGGTTCATTGCCATTTTACAGACAAAGTGCCCAGGTGGAGAGCATGCTTCTCGTGGCCTCGGATTTGCAAGGAGATGCTAGCGCAGGGCTCAGTAATTTATTTGTTTGACAGTCACTTACAAGTTCACCATAAAGAGTCTGTTGAACACAGCCTGGTCTTACAACACTTGTGCTTTAAGTAAGTCTTTAACAAATAAACCACCCTTCTTTCAGACAGACTGTTGGTATGCAGATACCATACTGCTTATAGCAGGGTGTGTAAATAGGTATATCTGAACAGAGACAAAACTGCTCTGCATTTGATTCATTTCTACAACTTTGAGTCTTTAATCCCTTAAAGCACACTGGATTACACGCTTAGTGGCCTAAGATCCCCAAGAGCCAAAGCCTTAGCTTTAATTAAGTGGATCTGTCATCAGTTCTCTAATACCCACATGTAAAACCACACGGCCGTTACAGAGCTGTTTTAACTGCGCAGCTTTAGGCTGCGTGGTCAGCCCTGCCCTGCTCGTGGGTTCATGTTCCTGTGCAAACCACCACTAGCGGCTGTCCCCGCTGCTGTGCAGTGCCCACTGCTGCTGGCACACGGGGCACCAGCCCCATGGCACACAGCGCGTCTTACTGAAGAGAATGAACATGCTCTAAAGTGACTTCAGGTCACCCTGGAGGAAGGATCTAAATCCACTGTGGGAACAGGAGAGTCTTTTGACTGCAAAATCACTTAAAAACTCAAACCCGGGGGCTTTGTTCAGATACTTCTCTGTCACTGATTCTTGTTAAGAAAATGAGGGGAAAAATGAAGAAAACACATTTTCCATGTTTGGACTTACTAGATTTGCAAGGCTGAAGAAAAAGATAACAGGCAGCTTCGTGTATTTGTTCCTCTCACCTACAACCATCTCCTGTCCTCCCAAAGCAGCCAGTAACCTCCAGTGCAGCAGCCAGTAACCTCCAGTGCAGCAGCCAGGCTGGGGACAGAGGGGATTCCTGCAGTTCATGCAGGAGAGCATGGACTTGTCTGTCACAAGTCGGGATCAGCTGTCTCAGGGATACACTTTAACCTCCAACGCATATTTTTCAGAGGAGGCCCCTATTAAAGGACAAAACCCAAAATGAAATGCCTAGTCCTGAGCACTCACTGTCACACTGGGAAGCATCACCCGCTATTGAACCTGAGGACATCCTGGAAATAAAGCTGTCTGCCAAATCCCTGTTCCTGGCAGGTGATAACTTCCTTTGCTTCCCTGCTGTGTCTGTGGGACACAGGTTTCTGTGCAGCACCAGCATACCCTAAAGCCAGCTCTGAATCACAGCACGCCCCTCTCCTGCCACCCAAATTCGCAATACCAAGTCACTTGTCTCCTACAGAAAAAAGCAACAACATTTTGTCCCCCTCTTCCCTCTCCATAATTTTCCTAATTATTAAACAACCTCCTGCCAACCTCTCATCACAGATTAATTAAGGAGTCTTTGTTAAACCTGCAGCAGAGGTAGATTTAGTGCTCCGAGGGTGGGAACTACCTTCAAAGCTCTAGGAGAGTCTTTGCCGAAGGAAAACCCTGCGCTGAGGTACCTGTGAAGTGCCCAGAGCCCACAGAGAAATAGCATCCAGCAAAGAGAGGAGGCAGGGTCTTGGTAGATGCTGCAAATAATTATCTTTGAAATAGACAAAACGGGGCAGGGCAATGCACCAGCAATAGCTTCATATTTTTGAGGACACTTCCCCCTTAAACCCAGAGGATTTACTGCTTCCTTAGAATCATAGAAAAGGACGGGAAAGGACCTTAAGATCATCCAGTTCCAACCCCCCTGCCATGGGCAGGGACACCTCACACTAAGCCATCTCACCCAAGGCCTCATCCAGCCTGGCCTTGAACACCTCCAGCGATGGAGCATTCACAACCTCCCTGGGCAACCCATTCCAGTGCCTCACCACCCTCACAGGAAAGAATTTCCTCCTTAGATCCAATCTAAACTTCCCCTGTTTAAGTTTGAACCCGTTACCCCTTGTCCTGTCACTACAGTCCCTAATGAAGAGTCCCTCCCCAGCATCCCTATAGGCCCCCTTCAGATACTGGCAGGCTGCTATGAGGTCTCCACGCAGCCTTCTCTTCTCCAGGCTGAACAGCCCCAACTTCCTCACCCTGTTTTCATACAGGAGGTGCTCCAGCCCCTGATCATCCTCGTGGCCTCCTCTGGACTTGTTCCAACAGTTCCATGTCCTTTTTATGTTGAGGACACCAGAACTGCACACAATGCTCCAGGTGAGGTCTCACAAGAGCAGAGCAGAGGGGCAGGACCATGTGAGGCCCATTTCCCAGTCTCTCTGGGAGCTTCGTGGACATTGGCGTGTTTCATCCATCAGGTGTTCGGGACACAAAAGACAAACACAAAATACTTCACAGTGCACAGAGCCTTCCGATATCACTTTTACCTCTTAACCAGGTGTAGCCTGTACAAACTTACAGTAAGCCCTAAAGTAAAGCATCACTTACCCTGCCAGGGACTCGGGGTGTGTGAAAAGCACGCCAGGTGCCGAGAAAGCAGAAGATCATCCGTGTCTGAGCGAAGATCCAGCAGTGAAGTCACTCCATTTTGTAACCTCAGAGGCAAGCAGATTTGATGTTTAATGCAGCAAACCCAGATGTGGGGTTAAGGCTGCGGTCTGTGTGATGCCCTTTAACCGGCTCCTCCTCAGCCCCTCCTTGGTGTGAAGCTCTTGCTCTGCCGCCGTGCACCCGGGTGGTTATTTCTGTGTTTGACAGGCCAGATGAGAGCTTGCAATGCCAAAGCAGCCACACCATCAATGTAAGCCTAAATGTGAGGGTGAAAGGCAGGGACCCAGAGGTGGAGTGCAAGCTGGATCATTTATTGCAATGGTTACACAGTATTTATATGCTTCCAAGCACTTAGCCAAGCACATCTGGGTTTGCCTTGTGGTTACATCAGGTGAAAGGTCTAGAAACCCTCTTTCCAGTTCCAACACCTTCCAAGCACCAGTCAGGGACGGGTCACTCCTAATTGCCTGCTGTAGCTCCTCCTTCCCATGGTCTCTGACAGTTTTGATGCGTTCCAAGCCCCACACCTAAAGTGAGATCAGTCACCACACCGTGCCACGTTGTGTCCAACATCTTTTTATTAAACCATTATGGCAAACACCACTTAATACATAGAAAGAAAGCATGTAATAAAAATGGATATGGAAGTTACAGCCTTTGGCACGTGTCTATTCCCTACTTAATGACTTACAGTAGGAATTAGCTACTTCGGTCTGCAGTGACTTCAGTGTAAGGGGCAGAAATGTGGGGACAGGTCACAACAACAACAACATCCAGCTCCACCATCAGCCGAAGACGCTCTTGGCTGGCGCTTCTTTCGGTTTCTCAAAGACTGTTTCACCCCCTGTCCGATCCCGGCTGAATATGGAAGGTGCTGCAGAGCCCATTTGTTCTTGGAAAAGAAAACCGGGAGAGCAGTCAGTGAAGTAAAGTAGCTCACCGAACTCAGAGAGTGAAACCGGCGCTGCTGAAAGCCATACATACACGTGATAGAATACTTAAATCAACTTCCCAGACCTTCAAGGACAGTGCTCCCATCCCAAGCACACGGCAGCTGACAGCATCTGCAGGTGGTCACTGCCATAGACCGGCCCCAAATCCCTACAGGTGCTTTAGAAACCTGGAAACTACTGAGGTGCAGGCTATTACACTGAAAAGAGGTTAAGATCGGTAATTTTTCCTTATGCTGTCCCACTGGAAGTGCAGAGGCAATGCAAGTCCAGAGCACCAGGAGTGCTCAGGGCAAGCAGCTGTTCTCTTCTCTCTCAATTTCTGCCTTTTATCCCCCCCCAGTTTCTGCTTCATCTCAAACATGAAGTCCTGCAATTGTGAGGCCAGAAATCCCCAAATCTATGACCACTTAACAATGTTCGACTTGGGCAGCCACTGACATCGACTACGGTCCCAGGGCTTGGTTGGAACCTGCATTCAGAAAGCAGAGTCAGGGATCTCCCTCTGCTTTGTCCACATCAGAGCCCTCTTGGCGCCATCAGGGTGCTGGATGCAAAGCCCTGCGCAGCCAGGCCAGGCCAGGCAGTGCACTGCTGGCTGCTCTTGAAAAGAGCAATTATGACATTTTATTGTGGAAGACTGCTTGCTCATTTCCATCCAGGAGACTTACCACACTGCTTCATCACTTGGTAGGTTTTGGATTTGATTTCCTGGTTTTTGGAAAGGTTTCCTCTGGCTCCTTTGAGGTCTTCTTCCTTCATGGGAGGACGCTTCTTTTTCACGGGGGCTGGCTAAGAAACAGACGTATTGCCCACGCATCAGTATTTTGTGTTTAGAAGCACAGGGAACAAAGCTGCCTCAACCCAAAGGCTACAGCATGCAGAGTTGCTAACACAATATTCCACCTATTTGAACTCGGACTGTACACTGGGCTACTCCAAATGTTTGCACCACCATGATTTCACTGCCCTCGCCGAAATCGGTTGCCTCTATTACGGTGCTGAAATTGCTTTCTGATTGTTCAGCCTTTGAAAGGGTTGTTGAATTTTTACTTTTGTTTTTGTTTTGTTTTAAAGTTCTCTCTGCCCTGCCCAGCCCAGCCTGGTCGTTCTGCAGGTACGGACTAGGAATTCAGGAATTTGTCCAGCATTTGGGAAGGAAAACGTCATTACCAAGCCGTGCTTGTGCCTCAGTCTACTCAGTACCTCTTTGGAAAATTAGAGATTCTGAAGTCTGGCCTGATTTAGCTGGAATAAACTGAACACTTGACCTGTTGTTACTGATCTTAAGTTTAGGTAACAAAAGTATCTGAGCACTCAACACGCTGTCTACAAGCATGTACTGAACATATCTGAAACGGTGGACCCAGAGCGTGGCGAAGGAAAGCTGATACAGGAACAGATGTATCATCAAGTGGTGCTCTGCAATGTCCAAGTACTGATCTGTTTACAGCCTACCCTATTCCTGCCTCTACATTAGGACTTCTAAGCCAGACACAATGCCAGTCACCAATTGGGAACAGCCAGCACAGTTAACGTTCCCTCTTCAGTTGACAAAGACAGATGGACAAGGTCCCACCAGGCAGACCTTGTAGCAGGGTGCAGGGGCACAGGAGATATGATTAAAAGCAAGAGACACCCCCTCCCTGCCACTCCAACACTAACGGGTTTGCACGCTGAACCATCAATGAGAAACTACTCTGACTATCGATCGCTACACATGGAGAGCTTCTGACATTGGGTTCTGGCAGCGGTGGAGCCCATTACACATTTCTAGGCGCCATCCATAAAGCTAAAAACAGTTATGGAGGGAAAGAAGCCCCTCAAGACCCACAGGTGGCAGGAGCAGCAAGTCCCAGGGAGCTTTCAGAGACAGCACATGCATGCCTGGCTCTCGGAAGGGTGGGCTGGCTGCACCGGAGCCTTCCGCATGTTTCCTGCCAGCTGTGAATTCCCAGGAACGCTCGGAATAGCTCGCTGTCAATCCCATTTGAGCGTGTTGTGGGAAACAAAACATTAACAAGACCTCTGGGGAGAACACTTTACGAGTAGCCAAAGCAAGCAATGGGAAAGGGTGGTAGCAAGTCCTTCAAAATTCCCAACAGCTTTTGGCCTGCCAGCTGTTTAACCAAACATCCCTGCAGCCATGGTTTCATTTGTCCATCGGGGATGAAAATCAGGATGCGATGGGAACAGTCCCCCATGCCCATGGCACGGTCCACAGCCAGCCAGTACAGACCTATGCTGACTCCCAGACAGAAAAGGGAACCCCCATATGCTTTGTTGACGGGAATACAAAACCTGCTAAGGTCCTTCATGCATGACTGGCAAGGGACTTCTTTCCACCGGGATGAGGGCCTTCTTGGGGACAGGGAAAGGAAAGGAGGTTCTTGAGATGCACTGAGCCGCAGCCAGGCTGAGCAGAACTGTTGAGTTTCCCCTTGGCATTTTAAAACAAACCCTTTCAAGCTTTTCCAGCACTGACTTGCTGCGGATTAGTCAGTGCCCAGCTGAAAAGCACCAATGCTGCACCGAAAGGTTACTGTGAGCCACGGAGGTGAGCCCTGGACCTGTCAGTGTCCTGGTCGCAGGACTGCTAATCGCTCCCAAGGCAAGTGCGTTTGTAAGCAGGGTTTGCCAGGAGCGATTCCCAGCTGGCACAGCAGTGCAGCCCACGCTTTATCTCCTCCTGTCAACAAGTCAGAACGCGTTGGGTCACAAGATTTATGGCTGGTTTTTAAAGTCTCTTTGGAGTCAAGAAAATCAGCCGAACTGGGCTACTCTGTGCGGCTGAAGGATTGTGCTCTTCTACCATTCCCACGTTCTTACCCCTCCATCCCATCCCACCCACCCATCATGTAAAATTCTCACTCTGCCAGGCACACGTTGTGTTGAAAACCTAAAGCTTAAGTGAAAACCTCAGTATTTCTGAGGTAATTTTGAGATCACTTTAAACATTGATTATTGGGGAACACAGTAAAGACAAACCATCAGTTACAAACTTAACAAAACGTCAGTCTCAAATACCATATCTGAACAGTTACAACTGCCAGTATGCTCCCTCCTTTCCTGCACCTGAAGTTTCACACATGTAAGCTTTACAGAGCAGCACACTCCAGTGCAGCCACATCCTTTCAAAACTACTGCCGAAATTTCCAATCACTGTCTGAGGAAGCATGCTGGAAAAGTGGAAACCATTCCTTCTGTGAACCATCCCAAACCAGAGCAGTGGAAATGGCTTTTCCCTTCCTGCAGAAATATTTATGGCAAAGCAGGCCATTTTTAAACCAGAACATTTTAAATTAACCATGTAGAGGGCAGCTGCTTTTCTTCATCACATAATCCCTCCTAGCAACTTACTTGTTAAAATACATAAGCAGAGTGTTTAAATACTTCAACACAAACAAGTCACACGAGCAGAAACACTGAATTCATGGGTTAACAACAGGAACTCGCCAACAAACTACAGAGCATCCAAAGCAGCAGCATGTTTGCCAGGCACCCTGCTCTAACGAGGGCCTCATCTCCCAGTACCTGTGACATAACTGCGGTGCTCAGTCCACTGTAATCCCTTCCGAGGTTGTTTCCCTTTGATTAAATCCAGCCTGTGAGCTCTGCAAATGCCTGTTTTCTCCCTTGACTTATATAGAACATCTCACATGAAGTCATTAGATGGGTCATTTTCCCAAACCAGAACCCCGGATGATTCAGGTTGACTGAGGCTGTTGTTGTTGGAAGCGTTATTCTTAGCCATGACGAGGGTTTGCGGTATTTACTGTGCCCCGTGCCTGGGGAGGGATGGAGCTGGGACTGACGGGAGCAGACAGCTGAGGCACCGGCACCGCAGGGAAGCCCCAGCCACTACAAAAACGAATTCCTGAGACTCTGCTGGGGCTCTATTTATAACTTTAAAAGGCAAAACTTTGTTATGGCAACAAAATTGGGCTCTGAATCCTCTTGATGGGGGGGCGGGGGGAAGAAAGTGTTTGCATTCCTTTTGTAGTATAACAAAAGATGCATTTTCTAAAGATTATATGAACCTTCTACCAAAAGCATAGCATTGTGCCCTAAACCACTTTTGCACAGGGATCTTTAACAGAAGAGTATTTTGTGCTTTTAGGAGAGCTGATACATTAGGGCATGGTTTTACTTCTACAGTTCTGCTAGGCTTGTTCTGATGTCAGCTCTTACACAACAGAGAGTAAAATCACTTTCTACTTACAGCACTATTTAAGTTTGATTATCTCACCTGTCATCTGTATAGGAATAGCTTACTCAGACACGGCTACTATGTTCCCTACTACATATGCTGACAGTAGAAAAACCTTTTCCAGGGTTTTTAATGTTTAACCCATGGCTTAGTAAACAAGGGGAAATGTTTCCTCAGAACAACAGCACCTTTTAGTGAGCTAACAAAGCACAGGAATAATGTATCAACTTCAGGAAAAAACAGCAGATTTTTTTCTATTATACAAATTACTCAGATGCTTCTATACAGTTCCAGACGCATCACTGTTCTGATGCTGTTTATTACAACAGGAAAATAACATTCTGCATGGTTAAACCAAATATTTAGAATTCAAGGCACTGAGCTGTTTTTTCCCTTCAGCTTTCAGGATTGCTTCATTTAATGGGTACTAAATATTCCTCACTCACACAGATCTTACAGATGATTTGACTTCTCCTCCAAGAAAGTGCCAACATCCCTCAGTGGACGGACAGACTTGATAAGTTGAAGATTATTCTCTGAATTCCATTTAAGGTGGTGGCGGGTATGGGGCTGCCTGAAGGTAGTAGGTGGAAAGTAATCAAAGTAATGGGTAAACAGAGGAGCTACAGAGGTAGTAGTGGATCAAATCTGTGCAGGTCCAGCCCAGCGGAACACACTAAATTTCTTCCATCAAAACAGGCAGGGGTGACAGCAACAGCAGCTCACCGAGAACAGGATTTCTGCTCTACTCTTGCATAAAGGTATCAACCTCTATTTGCACCCTAAAACTTTAACATAATAACAAAAAATTGTTCACCTGCACGTGGTTGTGTTACAGCTTCACAGTGAGCCAGCTCCCTTCCTACACAGTCATCCTCATTCCTCCAGCATTCTGGAATGCCATACCTCCATGGGAAGCTGGAAAGTTAAGATGGCATCTTTCTATCCAGCAAAACAGGAAAACAAAGAAGCGAGGCTACATTCATTTTGCTGGGTATAACAAAGGAAGTCCAAGGGCTTGCTGCAGACACTGAAAATCAAAGACGCTGTTTCCCAGGAGCTTAAGAGACAAGTCTGCACTACAAAGTTAGCACGTAGGAGTGACGTCTTCATCAGACAGAAGAGAATTAGTACTGCTGCCCTCTTTTCTTTCTGCATGGTTCTGGGAAGTAAAGAAGGTATTGGTCACCTCCAGCATGTTGGCTATTGGTTCTGGAACTAGACATTCCCACGTGGCCCTTTTCTGTCCTCAAGGAGGTACCACACCAGTTCTGTGACACACAGCACTGCACAAGCAAACTTCTCAACAGGATGCTCGGACGTCGTCCCTCTGCTTGAATTTCTGCTATTCGCTGCAAACAAATCAGGAGGGCAACGAGAAAAAACAGGTTAACAAGTTAGTGAATTAGGCCACGCCTCTACCAAAGGGCAGGCAAATCTAGATACTTCTGAGCTTACACATTTGTTGTTGGCAGCAACCAGAAGGTCTGGCTTTGCCTGAGCCGAAAGCAGGCTGTGACCATCGGCTGTGCAGTTAAAGCATTTTCACAGCATCCTGCACTCCCAGAAGGCCCGAGGTCAATGTGCTGCAATCCCAGGAGTTCTCAGGCTGCCCATCAAAGGTTTTATTTTCAGCATGAAAACGTATACGGTGATTCTCCCTTTGTGCACACGCAGAGGGCAAAAACCCTCCGCAGGGAGCAGATCCCAGAGGAGCCTGCAAGAATTCTTAGTCATAAACAAAATGTGCTACTTAAGAACAGCAGTCCCTCCAAGTGAAATGGAACTTGCTGTTAAGGTAAGGTAACTGAAATTAATACCAACATGACAGTGCCAAAAATCAGATCTGCAGTTCAAAACCAGTAGCCAAACCCGCACTTTATGAACATTGAAACACACATTTAAACAGAACAAGTATAAAACAAGTGTACAAATCTGTAATAAGTCAAACTTTATTGTAAACCATTATACAATGTAATTACATCAGATACCCTTAAAAGTTTAAGGTAACACCACTGATTTAACAATATGGTCCAAACATAGGGCAGCAGAATACAGCTGTTGGTTTTGCTCACATAGGCTATACTCTGAATTTACTTACAAACAAACCCAACATTCAGTTTGAGACGGATACCCACGCAAGACAAACACACCTACAAAAGAGTCCCTTTTTTAAAGATACTGCAGTTTTACTTTGTAAAACCATAGTAGTAATTTTCAGTAATTGAACTGGAAACTTTACCTAAAAAAAGTCTGCACGCCTATGCTGTGGCTCTACTCTGACTCGATGTGCCTGAACATACTCACTTTCATTACTGCTTTCTCCTGTAAAAAGCACAGCAAAGTTGCAAACGTGGGTTAGTCAAGCACAGTGGCAGAAATTCCTTGTGATGCTGAGCTCTAGGCAGAGCCCATGCCTCCCTCCCCAGGCACAGCTGGAATGAGAGCAGACACCTGCGGAGGGGATTGCTTTGCATTGCTCTAATTTGCAACTCAGTTTCTGAGTTTTCCCTGAAGAAAAGCTATAGTACATTTTAGTTAGCAACATTAACAAACAGCATTTACCTACATAAAGTAAGACAAGGGGACTTGAACATATTAAAGCCAGAACTTGAAAACCACATCTTAGACAGCACTAGTGTTTTAAGTTTATGCAGATGTGTCACAGATTCTAGAAACAGTTAATACATTTGGGTTGACCATTAGTGGTAAATTCAATCTCCGCTAACACTTCTGTGCCTCTTCTTTAAGTTACAATCCCTTTCTCTTACTTCAGCATATCCTACATAGCTTATTTTCATTAAACAGAATCCCATTTCTTAAGCACAGCCTGAATTAAACCTTTCCTATGAGCTGTCATGAAGTACGTTTACCAGGCATAAATTTAGAGCAAGAATTCGAGGATACTGCAAAGTCATCATGTTCTAGTACTACTACTGGGCCAACTCTTTATGAAAAGTTTATTTCAGACTGTACAGCCAACACATTTCAATGAACAGTAAAACATAGTGAAGCACGAGGCACATACTTCCTTCTCCCACATACAAGCTCTGCAGACAGAGCACTTGTGCTGCTTGCACCTACTACATGAATTCCAATTTTTATCTTATAAAGAGAGAAACTGCCGATTTTACATTTCCATCTCTTTAACATAATAAAAAGGAATGAATAGGAAAAAAAACCCCACCAACAAAACAAACAATTCCTACCCAGTTTTTGTTACTTGGCTAAGATTGTAAATAAATTTACCTTAGTAGAGAAGGGTAGAGCTGTTTTCCCCCCTCCTGTTACTACTGTGGTATTCAAAATACTTCTGTCTCTTTGGCTCACAGTGCTTTACTACATCATCTTGCTAGGCATATCAAAATCTCAAACCAAGTGACATTAAAGCACTTAAGACATGAACAATTAGGCATTCATATAACTTTGCTACAAACATCTTCAAGAAACTGCTCCATAGTGCTTTACACTGTTTTGTAGTTGGTCAATAAGTTTGAGGTCTGCTCAAAACAAACATTTTTACATGATTAAGGCCATAATTTTATACTAACAGTTCACAGACTAAACATGAGACTAGAAACAGAAATAATTCGATAATTTAGGTAACTGGAGAAAAAGAGGGTAAAAGAAGATAAAATGAAAACTCATACAGTTAAATTTGTGTGTGCTGCTCAGTTATCTCTGATGGCTGACGAGGACAGCAAGGGCTGGGCAGTGTTGAACAGCTTTATTTCACTACCTGAAATAGAACAAATCCTACGCTAAAACATTAAAATGCTGACATCTGCAACAAGAGCCAGTCCTAGCTGTTAAGCCCCTTCCAAAAAGTGAGCTGTATGAGACTATTCTGTGGATGAAAATGAATTCTTTGAAGTACTGTGCTTTTGGAGATATGCGCCCGCCCAGTGGTACATAGTCAGTGAAGATGCAAGTCACAATCAATGAGACAAAAACCCCAACAAACAACCCCTAAAACAGAGGCAACACTGATTAGGGACATATTCTAAAGGGGGGGGGGGGGGGAATAACTCAATTAAGCTTCCATTGTCCTTAGTTTCTAGATTTAGTCTAAAAGAAACACTAAAACTTATTGCAGTTATTACATGTCAGTGCACAGTAACAAAGGTCAGTAGCTCAACTAAACGAGCAAATATTAGGGTTGGTAAAATGTCCCGTCTAGCTGGCTGGGCACCTGAAGTCTCAGAGCACTCTGGTCACCTCAGCAGCCAAGCAATGGAAAGCAATGCTGGAGTAGTGAAAATAGGTACGGGAGCGCACAGTTCAGTATTTACTAAGGCCCGTTTAAGTGGTCTGGATAATAAATCACATTAAGACCTAGTAAATCTATAAAAAAATGTAAAAAATCTTAAAAAGTTCTGAGCAGTTTTCCAATGAAACTGTTTGGTTTAAGGCTTGGATCATTTCTGATGTCCAGATACTACAACAGATTTGCAGTTAAGGTCTGTTGTCACCTCTTTGACACATCACCTTGTCCTGCACAAGGTTTAACTGAGCAAGGAAAGCTGTCAGAAACAATCATTGAGAAAACATGCAAAGCTAAAGGATGTCACTGAAAACATGCTTGCTAGGTTTCAGATCAGCACGTGTTGTCAGTTACGAGAAGACAGACACTGAAAATCACAGGAATTCTGGAGTAACAATTGTGTTATACCTCTTGGGGGTTTTCTTAAGGACTAAAGGATTATCAGACTTTATGGAAATTAAACAGGAGAAATCTTTTTTCAGGATATTAAAAAGAAGACTGCTTTTCCAACAAAAATCAAGGAACAGAATTAGTTGCGATATTACAGCACAACTGCTTCAGTCAGGTCACCGTCTTGTACCATGGGCCCTATATAACAAAAAGCATAAGGAACGTTCCATCTCTTCTGGGTCATTTGAGAGGTATGCACAAGAGACTTGCAGAAACAAATAATTACAGTCATCCATAGATACTAGTTTCACAAATAACCTATCACAACAGATTTTTGTTATACACTAAAGTGCACGTTTGTCAAATATGCAAACACCACCTCCTATTAAAAAAGGTATTGTCAAATTATGTGGTCAGAAGCACACTTAGAACTGCATTTTTTTGTGGTATTTGGTGACTTCAGCACTGACAGAGCTCTTCTCTCTGCAATCCCTTTGTCTTAAACCAGGACACAAGGATAAATAAGATTTTTACTACAAATCTTTTGACCTGCTCTGCACAAAAAAAGGGAACTGCACCCTTTTTTCTGACAAAGAGAATCTTTAAATACAACTGTATGAAAATATAACTTAAATATAAAATAGTCAAATAGATTTGAGGAGACTTGGAAAAAAATCTTTGTTCCACCTATTAGTTCCATAGGTACCCGGTAGCAAGTAAACATTTGTACTTAAAAAAATAACATTAAGTTACAGCTTGTAACCATAAACTATTCTGCTCTAGGAATTATGCTGCAAAAGCCAGTTTTAGTAATAAAACACACTCCTTTAACTTAGTTGATTCTGATGCCTTTTCGAGAACATCTTAAACTGCACCATCGGTAACCACAAGTGAAAGATTGCTGCATCTGCTTCCTGGGATCTTCTCTGATGTGTCAGATACAAATCCCCTTAGCGACTAGTCCTTAACAACGCTGTATTTTTCACACATGATGGAAACACATTCTTGCATATTGGTCAGTGTGTCTGTAGTGCAACTGAACTGGAAGCCTTCCAACCATCTGCGTTCTGTTGGTAGACCTTGCTTTTAAGTCACTTTGTATGAAAAGGGAGACGCAATTGCAACATTAAACGCCACCGACTGAAGTTTTTGCCATGAAACCTGCAAATACACAGGTCAGGGAATTTGTCATACAGGCAGACCAAAGCGATGCTTCTTCTTTTTAATGGGTTTTAAGTTGGTCAGTCTACGCAAGTCCTCTTCAGCATCTGATTCCTCCATCTCATCGTCTGCTGAAATAAGGATCTAAAAACAAATTACAGCTTCTGAGTAACATGGATCAAAGTCACACCCTTTCTTCGTTCTACTTTTAACCTTTTTTCATGCTTGCAAAGTACCTTATTGTTTACTCAAGAGCAAGCTTACAGAACACAGTTTGGCTTTACTGTCAGTACCATCAAACAACATCAGACATCCCCTCTGGAACCTCTAGTATATTTCAAAGAAAGATGCATATGTATTAATGTCTACTAAAGTCACTGACTCTAAACCCAAAGAACTGATAAAGAAAACCCCATATAAATAGTACTGTCTGTAACACAGAAAAGTTATGTTAACCACCTAAAGCTAAAACAACTTACCTTCCAAGATACCACACATCATTCATCTGAACTGAAAACTGCCCACTTAATATAATTTAAAACAAAATTATGCTAAAGCAAGGATATAAATACTTCTCCAAAGTCAGGACAGTTGCCTCCACCAGCTTCTTCTCTTTAAGCTTTAAACTCTCTAAGCTAGAATTGTCTATTAGTTTTGTATTCTGTGTGGGCTTTCTCAGAAGCATCTGTAACACAGTTCACCTCTGATATTCACACATATTATGATGTCTTCCTGCTCGTCTGGAGAGAAGATAACTACCATTAGTGGTGCAACAATGCCATTCTGCTGAACTGGATTTCAACTGCAAATGCTAGGAACTACCATTAGAAGTACATGAGGGATGAACTGGATTGATACTGTATTAATTGCAATAATTAACTGTACATACTTCTGACTCTGACTCTTCATGTGATGCTGCTCTCCTGTATCGGACTTTACTTCCATTTCTTGAATCTTGTCCTGCTTCCTTTTCTTCAAGTTTAGCTTTTGTCTTCCCTTTCTTCATAAGAAAATTATCTACTACCCAGAACATTAATGCCTGTTAAGGACAAGGGAGAAGCGACAGTTCAGTGTTCCTCAGAGTAGTACATGTTCATTTAGTCAGTATTTGGATAGAATTAGGAAAACTTGGCAAAAATTGTGAACTGGCCAAACAGGTACAATCTTTTACAGGCATAGCTGATTACACACTGCATGAATGCTCTAGAAAACAGCTACTTTATTCCTTTATAGGACAGAAGAAAATAAGAAAAGTAGCTGTTATTCAGAGTGATCATATATTAACTTTTCACGTAGAAATGTGGCCGGTTTAGACAGACGTCTTAGCACAACAGACTTTAGGTTCTCAAAGGATAAAATCAATGCTTGAACAAACCGATGAAAGAAAAGAAAACACACCGGCAGTTATTAAATACAAGGACACCCACCACCTCTGGTTCTAGGCCCTAAATCCCAGATTGCTAGGAGAGTTTACTTTGGGAAGGATGACTGCTCACTTGCCCTTTTCTTCTGCTCTGTCATAGGCCAGCCACTATTTGCTATGGTCAGACACAGGATACTTCACAGAACAGCTATCCATAGACCAACTGTTTCCCAAAACAAATTTCATTGTAATTTTATAACCTCTATGGCAGTATTTCAGTATTACATTCAATCTACTGAAGTCATCATGCCAAAGAAGCATTTCTGCACCTCTCCTGAGCCTGGTTACTTGGCTTAATATGGATTTCAGCTTTGTAAAATCTACGTAGCCAGACATCTTATTCATTCTTTAACACCCTTCCTCTTGAGAACTTAAGCACCAAGGTACACTGTGCTTTAAGGACTAATGTTAACTAACAAACACACGGCTGAAAGATATCCAAGTAAACATCTCACAGAAGCATGAAAGTTGTACTAACATTAACAAAGAAGGGAACTATCAGCATGACGATAGCCAGCTCCAGCTGGGGGTTCTCTATAGGGTTCAATAAAGCTACCTGTGAAAAGAAAAGGATCAAGTTCAAATCATAGCAGCATGTGCACATAACTGGATTAGTAAGTGCAATTGTTCATGTACCAGCTATTGCTACAGAAACAATTCATATGAACCAAAAAAGGACAGCTTTGCAGAAAAGGAAAGTACTGAGGACAGCTTATAAATCACCACAGATACTAAGCGGGGCTGGCAAGAAACTTCTCTCTGTCACGTTTGTTTACAGAAGTCTGAAAAGCTGTGTTGGAATCATCCCGAACATTTCAGAGCTGCACGTTCCCCAGGAACAGAATTCATAAACAGAACAGAGATTTACAAAACACACAAGATGGGTCCCAAAGTAGTCCAGAACGCACAATAGGACTCACTGGTTTTAATGGGCTATAACACTAGGCACTATTACTTTGAGTAATACATTGCCCACATTCTGTCAAAATTATTCGTTATCAGCAATGGCTTCACTAATCCATCGCACAGTCTACATCTATTAAAAAGGTCAAGCAAGGAAAATCCGTTAAAATACTGCAAATCCAAAATAGCTGTAAGTAAGGGTTAAAGAATTAAGAAAAAGAAGAATAACTTTGGGGCTTCAAGAGCACTCAGACAAGGAGAGAGAATAAAATTTTAGATACTGCAGTATATAAAACCCCCTCCAAAATATGGTGGGATGCTCCTGGCAATGGATGCCAGAAAGCCGAAGTAGTAGCCTTAACTAGTGTCCTAATCCAACAAAACCAACATACCAGTACCAGAGTTACATGGCATTGACTGTAGATAGTTATGATGCTTGAGCCAAACCAATAAACACTATTAGAAGTCTATTGCTTTACAGCTTCCACCTGAAATTCGTGTCTGTAAAATGCTGTAAAAATACAAACCTCTTTCCACTGAGGTATAAGCAGCACTATAATGATGATGGTTTTCTCAAATGTCATAATCAATATGTACAGAGCACATTGGCCCACCCAAGCAGTGCACTGCAGTGGGTCACCTGCAGGAAAGAAGAAAGGTTCTATATATGCACAGGGTTGATTTGACTTCACAGTAAACATTTTAGATAAGCAGTATAAGAAGAGGCAGGGCAGCTATGTCCTCTTAAAGTGCCTTCTCCAGTCTCCTTGGTGCTGCTCCTTCCCCTCCCTCAGCCTCACCACAACTTGCAGAAACTATCAGTTAGAACCTGAATGTAACAGGACTTTATCCAGTTCAGCAGTACCTGGTTATACGCTCATTGTTTTACATAATGCTGATGAAAGCAAGACAGACATGGCTGTGTTACTTTTGTTTCTCATCAAATTGTTATTCTTGACCCTCTACCATGAAGCATTAAGTTTCTTAATAGGGAAACATAGCTGAAGAAAAACATATATCCCTTTAGTCTAAGCAGAAAGGTGAAGATTTCTGCTGTTCTCCCAGTGCTACCTTAAACATATTTTTTTCTCTCTACAAAGTTGGTTACCATAACTAACCAATCATAACTGAAGCAACAGATGCAAGAGATGCTATGAAGAATTCAACTGAACAAAAAAATTAAGATGATCACATTTTAGTTTCAATCTGAAAGGGTCTGAAACTCTACAGCACTCATTGTGGCAGAGTGAAAACCTGAGTCTATTAAGTTATCTGTCAGGACAGAACAACAAATATTTGAACATGAAAACTTATGTAGACTACTATGAAAGCAATGAGAGAGGAAAGGACAAAAAAATAAAGGGATAAAAGAGGACTGATAAGCCCAGCAAGCTTCGCAGGTGAGGTTAAAGCAGCACTTCACTGGAAACCAAAAGGAAGCTTTGGAGGGAGGTGTTAGCTCTTTGTTCTTCACAATAGCTTCCACATCTTCAAAGCCAGCTTAAAACTCACGGTCTGGGGATGAACAATTAAATAAAATTCAGATGCTTTTATGTATTTGGAATGCAGAGTGGAGAGTTGCTACTTCCTTTTCTGAAATATTTCTGAAAGGCTTTCAGTATTAATACCTGGTAACAGTCTTGAGAGTTACTGTTTGCTGCTTAAATGCTATGAAGAAAAACATGAATCAGACTGGGGTCCAAACCAAAGAGAACTTTCTAAACAAGTTTTACAGTAAGAGCTAGCGATCAACACTCAATGGCCCAAGAGGGAAATGGTTTAAATGTTCAAGTTTTGCTGTTATACACCAGAGTTTATAGCTTCTGTTTAAAAAAAAAGTTAGAAAATTGAAGAAGGGAACCATCAGTATCTAAGCTGAGCAACTGTGATTCTGCTGAAGACACAAGGCCTGAATCAGATTTGAGAATTACAGCTTAGCAATTAATTTCTATACTCCACATTTTTATTAGCATTCTCTAGCTTTATTAACTACCTTTAGCTACAGATCTACCACTGAAACTTTACCGGTTTATTCTAAGCTCTTTTCCAACCTGTATTTCATTTATAAAAGCACAGACAGCTATAGCAATTTGCACCTATTCCAACTCTGTCACATGAGATTTCTGAACGTCCAGGAATTGTGAAACTCTGTATTAAGAGTGTTGTGTGCTATCGCCAGTGAACGTTTTGTTCAGTGGCGGTTTTGTGGGGAGGGTTGTCTGTTTTCCTTGGTGTATGACTGAAATTAGACATTGCATATGTTACATTCTACCTAAGGGTTTTGTGTGCCCTACTGCTTCTACAAAATGATCTCTCAGCTCTAACTACAAGCAGGGACACAGGGGTGTTCTTTACTTTGAATTTACCAAATCTTTTGACAACTTCCCGAAAGCACCCCTGTAGGTAAGTTGAGGAGATACGGATTGGATGGGTGCATGTACAACGCTGACAGAAAGCAAAAAAGCTTTCACAGGGGCAATGGTTAAGCACTGGAGTAGGTTACTCAAAAGGGTTCTTAAATATTAAACCATGGATAAATTAAACGCTGGACTGGAGCCACCCTGAACAACCTGCTGCAGCTTTGAAGTTAACCCTGCTTCAAGCAGGAGGCTGAATCAGGTGATCTCTGGAGAAAATTTCCAACCAAGCTTTTTTTTACCATTTTATAAACTGTGCAATTCAAGGGGAAAAGTGGAAGTTAATAACATCACCAAGGAGGTGCTCCCAAGAATATCTGCGACATTTGTACATTCAAAGATTCAAATTACAATGCTCCTGCTGAAACCATAAAGCTCCACTTTCTAAAGTCTGACAGTCTCTCAAATTCTGATTTTATACCAGTCACGTATGAACTACATGTCTAGAATAAAACAGCAAGTCAGAAGAAATCTTACTGCAAGAAAAAGTGCATAAAGACTGAAACCAAAGAAACGTTGAATCTTCAGTGGCAACTGCTGGGCAGAGAAAAACTAGTCTGTAGTAGCATAAGCTACCTGCATCAGCCACTTTGCAAGTTCATGTTTACAGACAGCTCTTGAACAAAATACCTGTGATTCTTCTGTCCTGGAACTTCTCTCTGTTGCTCAAATCCCAAGAAGCTTTCTCAAGAAAATGCCAAATCACAGAACTACTCCAAAATAAATTACAGAAGTTTTAAAGTAAGTCCCATCTACCCCATACGGCTCTGCAAGTCACAAAGAGCTAGGAGGGAAGAGATGCATCAAAGGCAATTTCTAAGCTTTGCCATCTGAGAAGCAAGGACAAGGAAAGAGACCACAGCACAATTTAGCTGCCAATAGAGCTCGTTGTCCCCAAGAGGGATTTGGTCACCTGTTTTCTACTCACAGCAGCTAAAGCAGCCTAAGACAAGAAGGGAAGGAGAATGCAGGGAACATTCTTCTTGCTACAGATCATGACTGTTCTTTACATACTCAAACATATTAACTGATTTTGCACTTCTATTAAAATCCAGCTGCTGATGTAAGGAATCTGAAATCACAAAACTGGAAATATGAAGACAAATCTAATACTTTTAAATGCTGACATAAAAAAGCCCTGGAGGGAGTGCCATGCTACTTTGTTCAGAAATGAGCGTGCAGCGCTGCTTTGCGGTACAAACAGCAGCCATTTATGAATGCTGGTATCTGGTATCTATTCTTTCCTTGAGGCATTTATGTTGAAAAACTGTCCTCCATATAAAGAAGAGGCTTTTAAAGCCAGCAGGACACTGCTATTTTTGTGACAGCTTCAAGTAGTGAATCACCAGGGATCAAGTAATAGAGCTAAGAAGGGAAATGAGCTCACAGTGAGAATTAACTTGAGACAAATGATTATTTAGGCTCTAGAAACATAAACATGGCTCAATCACAAGAAGAAACTTGTTAGGGGTGTGGGGGAGACACGGGACTGCTGTTTGCCCCTGCTTGCAAACAAACTAAGTCACTCTGATCTCCAAGCTGAGGACTTGACTTTACCACTTCAGACAAAACACCACAAGTTTCCGATACCTCTCAACAAGCAGAGCCTTCACCACCCATGCATGCTAAACATCCGTATTTCATTTCAAAATACTAAGTCTAAATACACTTGCGACCCCACAGGACTAAACTTTAGCTCCCTCTTCTACCCTACTTCATTATTTTAAATAATCTTATGAAAAATAAGTTTTCTTGGGGGCAAAGGGAAAAATTTTAAATAAACTGGTGACATGAAGGTTGTTACATCAGAAGCAACAGCAGTATTTAACAGGGCAGCAAACAATCCAATGCAACTTGTCCTTTCAGGCAGATTTCTAACATAGTCTAACCCTACTAACCTCACAGCCATTACCAATAACTTTCCATCTGCTATTTGTCTTTATACCAGAAGGCTCTCCCACATGATTAACAGAAATCAGATTTACAATATGGTTTTTAATAGTCTTTATGATGGCTTGATTAAAACACCAACACACTAAGGCTGGGACAGCACGTTAATGAAGATACAGAAAAGAGTCACTAATAAAATGATCTGATATTGGAAAGAACAACTAAGTAAAGAGGACTCAGACAGTTTCATACGTAGCTTACACACACACACAGAAATACTTCGAATCATAGAATAGTTAGGGTTGGAAAGGACCTTAAGGTCATCCAGTTCCAACCCCCTGCCATGGGCAGGGACACCTCACACTAAACCATCTCACCCAAGGCTCTGTCCAACCTGGCCTTGAACACCGCCAGGGATGGAGCATTCACAACCTCCCTGGGCAACCCATTCCAGTGCCTCACCACCCTCACAGGAAAGAATTTCCTCCTTAGATCCAATCTAAACTTCCCCTGTTTAAGTTTGAACCCATTACCCCTTGTCCTACCACTACAGTCCCTAAGAATAGTCTTGAAGGCTGCTATGAGGTCTCCATGCAGCCTTCTCTTCTCCAGGCTGAACAGCCCCAACTTTCTCACCCTGTCTTCATACAGGAGGTGCTCCCGCCCCTGATCATCCTCGTGGCCTCCTCTGGACTTGTTCCAACAGTTCCATGTCCTTTTTGTATTGAGGACACCAGAACTGCACACAATGCTCCAGGTGAGGTCTCACAAGAGCAGAGCAGAGGGGCAGGATCACCTCCTTCGACCTGCTGGTCACGCTCCTTTGGATGCAGCCCAGGATACGGTTGGTTTCTGGGCTGTGAGCACACACTGCAGCTGGCTCATGTTCATTTTCTCATCAACCAACACCCCCAAGTCCTTCTCTGCAGGCCTGCTCTGAATTTCTTCTCTGCCCAACCTGTAGCTGTGCCTGGCTTGATAAACAAGATCTTCTGATTCAGAATGATAATAACAGAGCAGTTGCAGCCCACCTCCACCACAGAACACAAGTAACAAGGTTCCCTTGTTGATTTTAAGGGCTGAGTTGCTCCATTCACAGATGCCTCACAGCTAATTAAAATAAAATCAGGTTCATTTTTGAAGTCAGTAAGAGACAGAATGAATACACTCCCCATATCTTCCCATCCACACAGACTTCTTCTTGTTAGAAGGACATGAAAATGAGAACAGACTACAGAAAAAAAAAAAACAGAATGCTATTTCTTAGGAAGAAATAAAATCTGGTATTTGATGTGATTACAAACACCTATGTATAATTTTAATAGATACACCAAGTTTCTTTACTCTGAGTGGAAAGCCAGTTTTATATGGGCTATAATCTGTCTTTAAATGGCTTCAATCCAACCAGCTATCAGAAAATAGGACTTTGGGCAACAGTCTCAAAGCTCTGTCAGAAGGGGTATCACAACAGTGTCTCAGCCCTTTCCTTGCCCTTTTCCCTTCCCTGGGCATTGCTGCTTATTTAAACCCTTAGAGACCCAAGTCTGGAGACTGATCTGGGGGAACTATTTACTCTTCTACATATGGTGAAGTTTCTGCTCTCTGAATCAGTTCCATGAAGAGTCAGATGTTCACCAGGCCAAAGAAAAGAGTGTATATACTGGACTGTGGCGTGTGGCAATAAAAAGCAGATAACCAGAGTTGTGACACTGCTGATTTAAACAGCTTGAATGGCCACAAATGTTACCCTAAAAGATACACATTAAATCTACATAAATCTAAGAAAAAAGAAGAAAAAAAGCCCTAATGGTGTATACAGTTATTTCTCCTAAGATAGATGCTTGTCATCACCACTATTTTAAACCTCTGGCATTAAAGCAAATAGCAGTTAATGCTATTCAGTTGTAAACTTCCCAAGCTCTTGAAATAGTTCATCTTGGCAAGGCCTTTACTTACTTATTCTTAATTCTGTCAGCCACTTAGGATCATTAAAACCGAAGAAACCTACAGATCCTGAAAGCCTACCACCGATAACTATGGAATTGCTATGAAAGCTTTTACTTATCTTTTTTTTCTCCCAAACCATAGGGAATTTTTATTTGTTTCTCTCTGATGAAGAGCCATAACTGCTGTCTTATGAGGCAATCTCTCCACCCATTCCTATCTCAAGGAGCTTCAAATGTAATTTTTAGCATCTATACAGAACTTCCATTCCCCACCAGCCAGACTAAGCAATCTGAAAATACCAGGTTGAACAGAATTAAATGTTGATGTGTATGATACTCATTTGCACCTGCAAATCCACAACCTGTGCACATCAGTGGACTTCCATGGCTAACATAACAGAAGATAAACCCCACAGCTTCATGTGAAAGTGATTTCACTAGCCTATTCCCTAGCCTGCTCGAAAGACATGCATTTTTCATCAATGATACAAACCCTGCATGCAGGAGTTTGAGTGATCACTACTTTAAGACAAGCACAGGTCATCCTGCCATTCTCTTCACTGAAGGTACGTGGCTGTTCATTTTAAAGAGGGCTGGCAGAGCTCTTAGCCCATATCATCAGACAATGGCATGCGGTTCAGTGAAGGCTTTAATAGGAAATGACCTTCCACCTATCATTTATTTAAAAGTGCTTCAGAGTAAATGTATCAGGCTGTTCTTTTTTCCACGACATCAGCCACTATCGCAATTTGTTCACCACTCCCAGAAAATAAAAAGGATGTTCAAGCAGTTGGTGTGAACTTGCTAAATGCTTAGAGAGTTGCTGAGCTTTCTAACGCAGAAGATGCATGCCGAGATACAGAACTTAAAAGAACCCTTATGAGAAGTCAAATGTTAAGGTGACCATTATAATCACTGTTTAACGATTTTAAGATGAGTTAACCATTAGCTGAAATATTCTGAGATTCCATCCTGAAAGTCATTTCAGTGCAAGAACAGAAACATTTACCATATTCACCAAAGCGAAGGGACTCCCACTGCTGCCACTCCACAATGCTGCTGACTGCACGTATACCAATGTAGATTAACAGCATCCCTAATGTGGCATCTAACAAGAAGTTGATAAGGTACCTGAAAGGAAAAATGCAAAAGAAAACAAGGAGCAGGGTCCATTTTATTCAAGGTTTAGGGTATTTTAACACCGTGATGGCTAGAAGATCTGTACATATGTTGAGAAGCCAGAATATCGAAAGTAATAATTTACCAGCGTCCATAGTGACATTATTAGCCTAAAATTTAAACAGGCTTAGCAGAGTCTCAATATTTTGTTTCTGTCAATGTTAAGCTCCAGCCTCTATTTTCATGTGTGCACCTATGTACTCTGTATAAATGCCAATATTAATTTTACTCCTTTAAATTAAATCCAGATTTCCATTTCACCGTTGCTCAGGTCACTCTGCATGGAAAGCCTGCATCTGAGCAAAATTAAAGGAAGAAGAGGAAAAGGAATCTTACTTCTGCTTCAAGCAACTGGAGATCACTACGAGTTTCAAATTAATTCTTAAGTTCATTAAATGGTTCACCTGAAATTCAGAGCATTTTGTAAGTGAGTCTGGTTTTTATTTGCTATCACCAAATGTACTGAATGAAACAGCAGGGGAGAAAGAGCTAACTATAAGACACACAGTAAATCCCTGCTACTAAGATTCTTGTTTGGTAATTCCAAACAGTTAAGGTAAACTCTAGAGCTATAGGAACTTATCTGCACAGATAAAAATAGCAAATCAGAGAACTGTGGGCTTTTGCTAGCTGTGGAGCAAATCCCTGCAGACAAAACTAGGAGAAAATGGAAAGCAAAGAAAGGGTATGTGCGTTCAGATCAGTAAAGGAGCAGTTGCTCTGACCCCCAAAATCCCATTCAAGAGCAGCTCACGAATACAAATGAAGCGCTCATGCCCTTATTCGGCCAAGACTTACCCATAAACTTTCAGAAAATAAAATAAAAATAGTTATTTTCTAATAGGAGTTGTAATGAACTTCGTATTGGACAAACATTAAACCCAAAGTTTAGGGTTTGGCAGAGGAACGGCAGCATTCACAAGAACACAAGTCATTCTAAGGCCACAAGGGGCTGCTCTAAGTCTACAGCAGTAAGGCAGCCATGAGGAGCAGGGAGAAGAGATGTGCCAACACCTATTTCACATCAAATTACAGAGCAGGCCAAGTACGCCCGATATTCCCAAGCACATCAGGCTCGGGACACGTAGGTAACATGCTCATTCTGTCATGCACCGCATTAACCCTGCTCAGGTGTCACCGGGGCACTGGCACTGATAACAAAAGCTGCTGCCACTATCAGATAAATGCATTTGGCTGAGTTCAGTGAGTAAAAGGCTGGGTTCATACAACCTTCCCCGTGTGCCGTGCACAACCAGCCCACTACCCTGCACTACACAAGGAGGGTGCTGTTTGCTTGCTCTGCTTAAAATCCTTCAACCAACCACCCAGGTGTTTCAACAGATGTTTTATCAGCTTTGCTATTATCACACACCTGCCTGAACTACAGCACTGCATTTCCAAACCCAAATGGCAACTTCCAATTGTAGGTTTTGTCCAAGCTTTGAACCATGATGCTTTCCAAACGTACATTTTCTGGGTTTGCTCTGAAAACAGCCCACAAACTACAAACCAGGAAAGAACAGAAAACTACCCATGTTTGAATTTCCTCAGCAACATTATTACTATTTAAAGTCACAGACAGAAACATGGCTTTTACTCACTGATTTTGACCCACTTGGCACTTAGAATATAATATTCCCAAGAAACACAAGTGGCTTTGGTTAATACTACATCCTATTTTTTCTGCTAACAAGGAGGACCTGTGCCCTTGTCCAAGAAATTATATTGTTACCCTGAGAACAGTGAAGAACAGCTCTCTGCCTCACCCTCTTGGTCTGTATCATGTTACACTTACATGAAGTGCATTTGAAAATAAAGCTATGTAGAGCGCACTAAAACGTGTAGAATGGAACACGTTAGGAAGCCTTTCATTTTGAAAACTCAGCACACAGCACAGCTATTGTCAATTTAAAAATACTCGAGCTCTACCTTTAAACGCTGACACTTTTAGGCGAGCTGGGGTAAGCTTCCTCAAATATATATTTCAATATATAAAACCAGAATGAAAGCAATTTGCACCTGCCAGTTTTTAAACCTATCAGGGTAAGCAAGGGAAAATCCTACAATGATGCCTGATATTACTGTAACCCTCAATTATAATTTAAGCTTTACCATTATTGTGTTAAAACAAAGGCATTTTCCCCACCACAATGGTTTATGGAGGGAAGAGAAAAGCAGTGTTTTACTTGGTGATTTATAGCGTATAAGAACGCAGAAGAAACTGAGGAAGAATAAGAGAAATAAAACAGGCTTGTGAAGCAACACAAGCATTTCCTTGGGCTGTGTAGCTTCTTTGTTTAGGAAAGGACAACAGTGAGCAGATGCCATTGAAGGATCTGGATTGCTTTTAAAGGGCACATTATCAGGCTTTTTAAAGTAATTTCACAGCTTCTATTACCAGGAACGTGTAAGCTTCTTTGAGCATAAGCCCTATAAAGAACAAACCCAAACAATTACCATTTGCTTCAGGAGCTCCTGTAAAGAGCCTGGCAGGGTCCTAGTCATAAAATCTTCAGGTTTAATATACTACAGTGAAATGCTTATCTACTTAGTCACACTGCTCCAAGCGTGACATTGCAAGATTAATTTGTGCACTAACTGCCTGGGTGCAGAGCAATATTTCCTGTTTTAACCTAATGAAATAATACTGCAGTAGCTACTGTAGGGTTTAGAAGAAAATACAAGCATGAATGATTTTTGCTAAGGATCCTTGAAAGCAACCTGACTTTCTATTAAAGTCTTGTTGCATTGAACAGCTGGAGGTCAGCGGACACAACTTCATATTCATTTCCTTTGGTCCCTAGCACCTCCTCCAGCAGACTCATGTTACAGCCTGCATCCTAAATCCTCATTCATTAACTGGAGGGGGAGAAGCAGTAAGAGTTTACTCTTGGTCTAAAATATCTATAGACAGCCTCCCCCCCCCCCCCCCCCCCCCAAAAAAAAAACCACCTCTCTCAGGTCCTGCCAGCTGTGAACTAAAAAGAGCAGAACTCTGATCCTTGATTAACTCAGGTTAAGGCACAGGTTTTTGAAAGTGATTTCTACCATGAAAATAGGTTGCTCAGCCCTGTCTTGCATTATTGCCCAGGTACACCACCAAACACAACTGCAGAGCTTCCATAAAGACCAATATTCCGAATTTAAACACTTACAGTGAACAGGGGTCTTCTTCTGTAAGGTCTGATAAATAGACATTTGCGAAGTGGATGAATAACATCCCTATGGCTTGCTTGGAAGTATCTAAAAACCTGTACGGAGTCAAAACAGTTTTTAAGACAGACAAAAACGTTTACATGACAGCCAGACACTGCAAATTTATGTTAATTAAAATTCCATCTCAATTATTCATTTGTTTTCCTCAAATGAGACCACTAGAATGATGAAGTGCCCCGGAATTTAGCTTGTTTAACAATGTTCCACTTTAAATTCTGCCCCCTTTTTTTCCCTGGAACATTGCAAACAATAAACCAAATCATACTAACTTGAAACCTTACCATTGTAAATTTCAAGTCCAGAGATATCCTCTTGGTATCATATGTATTATTCAAGAGCTAATCCTCACTAAACCTAGCTAAGTCTTTAATAACCTTGTGTAAACAATGAGGATCCCAGTCTCATGAGATACTTCAGTCCCTTTATGCATTTTTAGCAAGTTTATGGCAGGGACAAAACCAACATCCTCATCATGTGCTTGCTGGTGAGCAGTTTAATAGCTGACTAATAATGAGTCGTTTAGCTAGAGTACCTTGCTAAAAAGCTAACATCTTTCAGCCAACAGCATGAAGTGGTCTCACCGATTTTTATCTGTAGTACAACAGCTTAGACCACACTACAAAAGAATTACAACCTTGAAAATAGCTTGCTATTTTCAGGGAAAACCAGAAAAAAGCACTTAAGCACTGATTCAGTATTGACTCCAACCCTTTATCATCACCCTTTGCACAAAACCAAAACTCCCAGTGGATGTTTCATTGGATGTTTCATTAGATGTTAAATAAAGGGATTGTGTAAAAAGTATTCTGTAGGCACGAGTGTGTTCTTTATAACAGACCAACACCCCTTCTGTCTGTTGTTTCCTGGTCTAAACAAAGATCCAAACGCCCAACAGATACAAACATTTTATGCCTGAATTCATCTCCCCTCCCTAATAACTTTGTCTTAAACTTCATTCTCTTACATTCATTGCATGACACAGAAAGCAGAGTGTTGATGAGGCAGGAAGCCAGTGAGTTCCTTATCTAATCAGTATACCACACTATAAATAACAATAAGCAAGTCCCACAACAAGACTCATTGCTTAAAAATTAAGGGTTATCACCCCACTTATCAGAATTTCAGGCTGATGTAGGCCACAGTACACAAGACTTTGTATTTATTTTTTCAATAAAATAAAGGTCAGGGTTAGTTTTGAAAAACAGCATTGTACGAGATGAATTTAAACCACTGAACTCTTCAACAACTGGAATGACTGCTTAACATTCACCCCAGTCTCAAAATTAGTACAGGCTGTGCTGGCATTGCTACAATCCAACAACCTTTAAGAAGTAATAAAAACAAATCTACTTTTTAGACCTTGCTTCTCTTATAGCTTATATATTTATATCTTTCATTGCACTGTTTTCTGTATTATGTATAGCAGGATAGCTACAGAACATGGAATTTTGTTTAAGCCCAGCTGAGAGCTTCTTGTAAGCTTATGGAAGTTTGCACATGTTCAGATGCATCTCCGGGCAACTCCAAGTTTCCACCTTCAGAAGAAGCACAACTTGAAGGTTTATGCCTAAATGCACATCTCTGTAGAGATTCCTGGAAGTGCTTAGTAAGAAAGAACTAGCAGAGAAACACGCAGAAGAGATCTGCATTGACTCATGCATTTTGTTTTTGTTCCTCACGGGTAGTCCCCGATTTCTTGTCATCGCTTTTCTCTTCTTCAACCATCATACGCAAAAAAAAACATTTCCTTCAATTTCTAACACATGCAAGAAACAACAAAAGTAAGAATAAAGCACGCACAAACATACCATATCCTCCAGGGACGTCGTTCATGCTTTGGTTCTCGGAAGCGTTTTACTAAGAAGAAAAAAAGAAAGCAAATAATTGAAGACAATCGGGAGCTCCCAAAACCAACAAGTGAAAGCAAATCAGTTTGCTGAAATTGTACATTCTTCAATAAACGAGATCTTACGCAACAGCATTTCACTTTCTCAACTCCAAGGAGAACTTTCAAAGAAACTGGCTCCCTTCTGTCACCTTCAAGTTCCTAGAGATCCATCATCTGACTGCCAATATAGCTCACTCGAAAACATCTATTACCGACACCGTTTCACTGGCCTTAGCTTTTATGACTGCCCATCCAGAAAACCTAATTTCCAATAGGAAAGCAGGTATTAGAAAAACCCATTTCTTTTGCTCACTACAGTCCAAAAGTCAAATTGGAAAGTATTCTCGCAATACAGGGGCAATCTGTAATATCACTAATAAATCAAGTGAATTAGTAACAGGACAAATGTATTCTCTGACAAAGCATATTTATTTTACGGATGACAAATAAGACTTTTGTGGGCAAAGTGAATTGCAAAAGGAAAGCAGGGCAGACGTTTTAGTCAGATAATCCCTTCACAAAAAAGCTGGTACTATTAAACCCCCCCCCCCCCAATCCAGCATTAAAATCAATGCCAACTATACAAAGCCAAAGAAATAGATGAATTTGACTATTTCAATCTTGATACAGTTTACAAACTGTTTGGGTATCGGACTGAAAGCTCCTCGTACCCCCTGCCCTGCTACTCCCAGGTACTATCCTAGGAAATTCCATTCTTAACTCTTTCTGAGCAAGAAAACCCTTTTTCCCTACTGGGAACTCATGCTGAGCTCTGGTCAGACCTGGAGCAGGGGGCTGGGGCAGCCTCACCTCTGCCTGATCTGGCCTAATGCAGATCTGTTTTCTCTTACAGCTGCAAGATAACCAATTCCTTATAGATCATAAAGACAGACCAAAGACAATGGAGTATAGCAAACCCTTTCACTAAGGATGGGGTTTATGCATGGGTTTAACATATGGGTTTTCTTCTGCCAAAGGTTGTGTCACCCACCAGCTCCTTCCACAGACATCTTGAAAAATATTCTTTAGGCTCTTATTTCAGTCCTCCAAAAGGTCAATAGGATTCTAACCTGGGAGCAGCAAGGAATGCAAGTTTCAAATAGGATGCTGCATATAATGTATGCGTATATTTCAGTGTGAGGTGCCCCTGCCCATGGCAGGGGGGTTGGAACTGGATCATCTTAAGGTCCTTTCCAACCCTAACTACTCTATGATTCAATGATAAATTATGCTCACCTAGCTTACAAGCCTTTAAAACACATGCTGGGTTATGAACCAATCACAACTATTTCAAAACATAAGGCAATATTCCCCAAAGCCAACCTCATAGACATAATACAGCATTAATATTATTACCCAAAGGCCTTAAAATGGACAAAGAAAAATTCACCTCCAAGGTGGAGGGGCAGTGTTTGCAGGGAGCACCAAGCTAACAACTGTCTGCCACCGCCTCTGACAGCAGAGAAAGAAACCAGGTTTCACCCCCTGATAACGCAACTGTTGGAAACCAAGAAGTGACAAGGAGAAAAGCCTGAACACTTACACCAAAGATGAAGCTGTAGTATCAACATTTGCCAGCAGTTTAATCTGTGAATCACATGCTGTAAATACAAAACTGCTGTTGCAAACGAGCAGCAGCCAGCTAAGTTAACCACTTTGTTGTTCATGACAAGGCCTCCCCAGTCACACTATGGATCACCTTCATCAGTGACCCTTCTACACAACAAGAAGCCACAAAGCATCACAAAATAAATGCAAGAAGCAGAAGTTTCAACTTACTGGGATTTGTGCAAGATGCAGGCAAAATGGAGATTAAACTGGTAAGATCTGAATACTTCTGGAGGAGAGGGGGGAGTTTTTCTATGAAGAAGTTGTATAAACCTTTGAATTATTTCTTTCTCTGAAGTATTCACCAAAAAAAAAATCATTGTGGAAGAGAATATTCCAAACCAATTCAACTAACACCATTTCCGGGCTTATCCAGACTGAGAAAAGACTTCAGGAAGTCCATGTTTCTCCAGCCAGCTCTTGAAAACATCACAATTCATTTGAGTTATCATTAAACAGGAAAGTTAACTTTGAAAGCCTCTACAGATGTCTTCTGGGAATGTATTAAATGGCTGATCACACCAGGAACTTTATTTATCCCTCAAGTTAAATGAGACGATACGTTCAAATGCCTTAGGAGGTGCTACCTGATGAATATGTACCTGTACGCTTGAAGGCCTGCTGGATCCACATGAAACAGGGTTGCTTGCTCAGCCTAGTTTCATGCAGCTGTGTCTGCAAGCATCAGGTACCTCTGACATACACAGGTATCGCCAGGAATTGCCCTACATCCCCCGATGCAGTACGCAGGTTACGTTGCCTATGCAGCACAATACAGTATCACTTCAGGGTGGTTCAAGTTGAGAGCAATTTCACTTCTTCCCCAGCAAGGGAGCATGTTTTCTGTAGGGCTAGAGACAGCTGAGGCCTTCCCACTAAATAAATTGAGCAAAACCCTCTCAGACTGTAAATAACCACACTGGTAAGCTCAGGATTAATAGCATGTTTGCTATTAATACACTAATTTTGCAACTAAAACCCAGCAATCCCCCCCCAAGATTCTGCAAATGTTTTAAGGATCTCTCAAACTGGGGAGGGGAAAGCAATTCTTCCCCCTGCCCACCTCCAATAGATGCCATGACTGTAGCCACACTCAGCTCTCAGTTTCCCCTGGCAGCCTGCATTGCCTCACTGTAAACTCGGAGATGTGCACTGGTGTGTGTGGCAGCTGACAGATGGATCTCAATCTGCCAGCTTCTCACTGAGGAGGTGGGACCACGCCATATGCTTCAGTTCGGAGCGTTACACTCGCACTAGCAAGGATTCACCATATTTAATATTAATTAACTAATAATATTCAGAATTCCATGCTGAATTATAAATGAAGGAAGCAGCACTGCTTGTTTATACATTCAATGCCAGAATTTGTCAGGAAAGGAAATAACAGCACTTCTGCCAACAGGCATGTGAGCTGCCAGATGGATCCATAATAGATAAGCATAGAAGGCAGAGTATTGTTAATGCAAAATCCAAGTTCATTAAATTGTCTTCCCATTTCATTGAAAGTCTAGGAATAATTAATGCCAGAGTACTGTGGAAGGCTTTCTAACAGTTAGAAACACAGGAGTTCTGCAATCAGTATTCCAGAAAACTGAAGATGCACAGGGTCATATAGAAGAACAGAAACAAGAAATAAAAGTAAATCTCTCCAAAATGTCAATACAAAAAGCAATGCTTGAACCTGGTACTTGGAATTCTCTTGCTCCTTCAGCTCCTCAAAACGTACCACGGGGAATATTTTGCTGATGTGAACTAACTTCAGTATGGATTCAAGAACTCCCATCAAGTTTCCAGATGGCTGCTCTTGTAGCAGCACACAACTGGCCTGCCTCAGATGTCTGAAATGCTTCTACATATCATGTATTGCATTTCTTAGACTATTCAAACTGTTTGATGTCCTCTGCAGCTGTACAATAACACTGCTCTTCTAAGGAGAGAACTGGGGGGAATTTCACCTGTATTTCCAGTGCTTCTCAAAACGTTCAAAAAACAGGTCAAAGACAAAGCATGTGAAAACTGGTTTGTTTCACAAACCTCCGATACATCTCTGTCATCAGACCTCAGCAAAGTGACAGCTGAGGCAGCCAAACAGGAGAAGAAAACCAAAAGGAGGAAAGGTTAGTAAGGGTAAGGTGACATCTGCACATCACACATGCAAACCTGCTCATGAGCGTGGGCAGGTTCAGCCAGGATGGAATCGGAGCCTTCTCATGGGTGCTCAGGCAATTGGCACGAGGAAACAGCCAAAAGTTACAGCCAGGGAATCTCCAGCATGACAGAAGTAAAAGCCTTCCAGTGACAGCTGTAAACTGCAACAAGCTGCCCAGAGAGCGTGCAGTGCCTTCAGTCTCATAGACCTTGAAAATTCACTTGGGCTGTGCTCTGAGCCAGGAGCCAGGCTGGCCCTGCTCTGAGCACAGGTGGGAGCAGGTGACATTTAGGCTCGCTTCCAACAAAACCTGGCCTGTAAGTCTAAAAATCATCTGCCTGTGATATGACATTTAAAATCTCCAAGATCTGACCAACTACCAAAGGATCAAAGTATGCCTAACTATAAACCGTACACACACGTATCTATGTATGCACAGAATTTAACAGCAAGAACAGTCTGCTGCACTTTGAGCTTCCATGCAGTGTTGTATCATGAGACTGGTAAATCTCCTCCAGCAGGATGGCTTTGCTGGGCCCCCTGAACAACATGCTGCAACCAGACAGATCCTCCAGCAGAGCCCTCATAGTGCAAGACGGTTGTGATGGGCAGGGCTACTTTGATATTAATTCACATAATCTCCAACATTCCAGCATTAAAGTTTCCAGTAGAACACTTTTTGCTAACTATGTACTGAGGAACAGCCAAAGAGCTAAACTGAACATTAGCATCCAAACTCGGAATGGGATGCAGAATTTCATATGGCTACTCTCAGAGAACTGAACTATTTTGAGCCCATTTGGTTATCAGAACATATGCATCCCAAATCTGATCCTGCAATTTCTAACCCTGTAAAAAACTTGTAAAATCAACTACATATGCAGAGCAGATTTCAGGTTTTGAAAATTCTGTTTAGGAAGACTGTCAAAAACACTGTTCTGCTTGTTAGCATCAACACTTTGCCTACAACAGTGGGAAACATGCCTGCAATTCATGAGCACATGCACAACAGTCATTCCTGAAAATTCACACCACCATGGAATGACAATGATCAGTGAACGTTATGTTACCTGTGATCTTTGTCCTGTATTTGAACTTACCTCCCTTTTCCACTAAAGCAAAGCTCTTAAGAGGCTTGTCTCGCAGTTTCACTGTGCCCCATCCCTTATTTTCTTAGCAGCAAAGAGAGAATAAGAAGTTACATCTCCAAAA